GAGAAGCCAGTTGCTGTGTCTGAGAATACGCAAGCCATGCTGGGAAGAGCCCGCGCAGGAGGCTCCAAGGCCCCTTGCAAACAACCCGCACCAAACTGCCCTCTGGCTGAGGAGTGCGTGGGAAGCACAGCCCACCGCCCCAGTCCAGCCTTCAGACACTGCCGGCCCAGCCCCTGCCTTGCTGGTGACCTCAGGAAGAGTGGGAGCCCAGAGCCCAGCCAAGCCACCCCTGCGTTCCTAACCTGCAGAAACCGCGAAGGTCAGCGTCACCGTGCGAAGCCGCAGCAGTGGGATGATGTCTGACGGCAGTACGTAACCAGTGCGCGGTGGCCGTGTCCACCAGTAGGAAGCTGGGCAAGCGAATTGTGACCCATTCAAACCCGCCTTTAAGTTCGGGAGGCCCAGCTTGGAAGTGCCAGTGGACCGCATACCATACGCCGGAACATTTCATAAACCAAGCTGGCAGAAAGTTAAATACAGTGTGTTTCATCTTACCCTCCTCGAGAAGTAAACCTTCCCAGCGGCCAGAAAACAGAGGCCAAAGTTTTCCTGGTTGGCAAAACATCAGCGATGACTGAATTTCTCTATTACCGTGCATGTCTGGGCATTCTGTTGAGGGACTAGTGCTGTTTGAGGTCTTAAGTAAAATAAATTCGTAAATGATTGTATATGCTGTAAAATTTATTTTTAATTTATTTATATTATTTTATTTCAGCATGAATGTTTGTGTGACCAAGATTTTCATATGTCATTTGAGTTTTGCTACTATAATGACCTGAAGCAGGTGTCATCGGTGGGCTGACTTGCGTCCTCCCTAAAATTTATATGTAGAAGTGCTCACCCCCAAGACCTCACTCAGAATAGGACTGTTGGAGATGGGGTCTTTAAAGAGGTGATGAAGTTAAAATGTGGTCACAAAGGTGGGCCCTGATCCCATATGACTGGCACCCCTGTAACGAGGGGATGGGGACACAGACGCGTCCAGGGACGACCCTGTGAGGACATGGGAGAAGACGGTGTCTACACGCCCAGGAGAGACGTCTGGGAAGGAACCGGCCCTACCAGCTGCCTGATCTTGGACCTCCGGCCTGCACAGCACTGTTGGAGCTGCTCCGTTGTGGGACTTTGTAACAGCAGCCGGCGCCAACCAGCACAGCCCCTTTCCCGATCAGGGTTCCACCTCAGAGCTGCAGAACACAGGAGATGGTCAGAGAGCCTGAGTCCCTAGAGGGATGGGCCACAGCCGGCGCCATCCCGGGACCCTCAGAGGGATGTGAATTCTTACCTATGTGGACGCCTGGGGGTGCGCCGAGGCCTTTATTTCTGCTGGACTCTCCGTTAAGAAAGGCTGAGAAAGGCTGAGCTAAAAGATCTAACCTTAAAATGTAGTTACAGCTGGAGTGTCCAAAGTGTTATTTGTATCAAAAACACTGAGAAAATATAAAACATGGAAAAATCAACATAATATTTCATGTGTTTCTAAAAAGTTTCTTTTCTTGGGTGCCTGGGTGGCTCAGTTGGTTAAGCGACTGCCTTCGGCTCAGGTCATGATCCTGGAGTCCCGGGATGGAGTCCCACATCAGGCTCCCTGCTCGGCGGGGAGTCTGCTTCTCCCTCTGACCCTCCCCCTTCTCATGCTCTCTCTCTCTCTCTTATTCTCTCTCTCAAATAAATAAAATCTTTAAAAGTTTCTTTCTTAAAATATTAAAACATGCCTGTTAAACGTTAAGACAAAATATGGGGGGTGGGGAGTGACTGGTAGTGGTTATGAGGTTTCTTTTTATTGTAGCAAAATAGACATAAAATGTACCATTGAACCGTCTCTAAGCGCACAGCTCAGTGGCATGAGGCACACTCACCCTGTCCTGCGAACACCACCACCCTCTGTTTCCAGAACTTTCCATCTCCCCAAAAGGAGTCTCCATCTCCACAAAGCACGGACTCCCCACCCTCTGCCCCAGCCCTGGCTCCCACCATCTCTCTGTGTGGACGGGACTCCTCTGGGGAGCTCCTGGGAGTGGGGTCCATGCACGATGTGTCCTTCTGGGTCTGGCTCCTCTCACAACCCAGTGTCATCGGGGTCCCTCCACGCCATGGCAGGGTCGGGATTCTTTCTAAGGGCAGATAATCCATTATGTATGAGTGTAGACCATACTTTGCTTTCATGTTCTAGAGCAAGAGGTCAGGAGAAGGGTCTCTCCAGGGCCTGAACAGGAGTCCCTTTAGTCACAAGCCGGGGAGGGGCCTCCATGCTTGTGTGCATCTCAGTAAATGTGTGTGTGTGTGTGTGTGTGTGTGTGTGTGTGTGTGTGTGTATGAGAGGGGGGTGGTGGGGACTTCTCGTGCGGCCCATAGGTCTTTCTGTGATGGTAGAAATGCTCCCTCTGTGCTTTCCACCACAGTCACCACTAGCCATCTGTGGCTCATGAAGCCTGAATTAATTACAATGAAACTAAATGTTGAATTCCACTCCTCAGTCACCGGAGCCACACACTGTAAGTGCATAGGGCCACACATGGCCAGTGCCACCATATTGGACCACGTGGCTCTAGAATGTGAGGCCAGGTTCGGGCCCTCTAGCCTGAAGTGGCAGTGTGGGACACAACAGAGTTAAAAACGAAGGGAACACAAGTGTTTTATGGAGCTAGAGCCTTCCAGCAGCCTGAGGGGTGTCGGGGCTGGAGAAGCAGGAGGCGGGGTAGGGTGCAGAGTAAGGGCATAGTTTTATACGCAACCCGACGCTGACAAATGGCACTGTGTGGCATGAAGACTTGCTCCCAGATAGTAAAAGTCTAACAATCACGGCCAACCCCAGACGGGGGCGGCGGGGAAGGAAGGAAGGGAATCTGATGGGGGATGATTCAGTTTTCATTATTTAAAGAAGTTCTGAAGCAAATACGGCAAAATAGGAAGGCTTGGGGCACCCCAGGGTGTGCCCTTGTTATGTGCTAGGCTCGGAATATTTTTGTAGTAAAGAGGCCTTAATACCGAGGGATTCAGATCGCTGGCCAGCCGCCTGCTCCACCTGCTTTTGGCCAAGAAAGTCTCTGAGATGGGGAGAAGAGAGCCCCGATCGCACACGCGGCTCCCTGGGGAAATCCGAGGCTCGCACAGTGCTCGGGGCGCTTCTGTCTCACCTGGAAGGGGAAGGCATCCTGGGTTGTTGCAGGGCGGACAGCTGGCTTCCCTTTGTGTCGTCATTTCGCTGTAGAGCTGCAGATTTCGAGTTGTTCGGACGGTAGCCTTGCACCCGGGAGTGGCCCCTGGGGTCCAGGACACTGCCTTCGATTGCATCTGGAAATCGATGGGAACTGCGGGGATGCCCCCACCCGCCCTTTCCCAAACACGTGCCCCTAGGGACGCCTCTACGCACCTGCTCCCACCGCTGTTACTCCCACCGCTGTTACTCACCTGCCGTGTGCTGGGTGCTACTGCAGTGCCCAGAAAGACCTTGGGACACTGCCATCCTGTGCCCCTGTGGCCTTGTGCTGTGGGGGAGGAGATGACCAGGGCACAGACAGGTCGGAGAGGATCAGGTGGTGCTGGGAAGAAAACTCCAGCGGGGTGAGGGGGACAGAGTGCTGCTGCTGTCCTAGATGGGCTCAGGAGGGCTTGTTGGAGGAGGTGACATTCGAGCAGTGACTTCCAGGAGGGGATGGGGAGCACCAGTGTCAGGGCTGCATCTCAGAGCCTTGGAGGGTTCTAAGCAGGAGGGAGACACGGGTAGGTGTATGCTGTGCTCTGGTTGCCAGGGGCACGGACATGCCAGGGAGGGGGTGGGCGGGCCCCAGGCAGGGGTCAGGCCCTGGGCTCTGCTGGCCCCCAGCTCCTGCGAGGTACGTTTGCACTTGACTGTGTGGTTGACCCTCGGCGTTCTGCTCAGCCTGGAGGGTGTTCCCCATGTTGTCCCAGATGGGCAGCAAGCCACTCAGAGGGACGGGGCAGCTTGGCTGTCATTGTGTGGCTAGCTTTGGGCCAGAACGTGTGTGAAGGTACCAGGTGTGAGGACCGCTGGCTGCGGTCCCTTTGTCCCCAGGCCTGCCTGCCCCAAACCCCATGCATACACCTGGGGTCGTCCCCTGGTTTGCCGGAGCTTCATGGGACCCATGATGGGGCTAAAAGCTTTGACGGTACCTTCCCAGACAAAGGGACTTTCCCAAGGACCGTCTACTCGGTGGCTGACACTTAGGAGAGTGAGGGGCACTTGGGTCGCAAAGATATGGGTCTGAATCGAGCACTTGACCTGTGTCACTGATCTGCAGAATTTCCACATTCAGAAACGGGACCGACGGACAGACAGAGAGACATGGCGACAACTTCACTGTGGCAGTACAGGGAGAATGTGTTGGTGTAGACAGAGGCCTCAGTGCTGCGCAGAGCAAGCTGGCAATAAAGCGGGTTCTCGTGACTACGAGTTTGTAGTTTCATGTTCACCGATCTGCATTTTAGTAATTGGGGGACCCACTCCTCCCTCGGTCACAAAATGCCGTTCAAGTCCAGCTTCCATTGAAGAACCTTGATGTCCAGGAAGAGCTTGCTGCCCACACAGGTGGGCTGAGAAGACCAAGGGGCTCAGGCCCTGACTTTGCCACTTCCTGTGCCTCAGTTTCCTCTCCTGCAAACGGGGACAAGGAGGGTCTCTGACGCAGAGTTGTTAGGACGTTGTGTTATTTTGTGAAAAGTGCTGAAACCCCAGCCTGCTCCTGTAGCAAGGTCTTAAGAAACGTCAGTCACAGGAAGAATGGATGCACCATAGGCATCCAGAGCGGCGACGCCCGTGGGCTGGGGACACCTGAGCTCGTCTGATGTGGCCGGCTTTTGTGTGTATTTGTGGTTCTAGCACCGGGCCTCCGATGGCTTTTCCCCTCCCCACCTCTGGAGCCAGCCTCTCAACGGGACCCGCTGCTGGAATGGGTCCCTCTGTGACCCCACCGTTTCCCGCGGCTGCCCTGCGCCCCAGGCCTGTCCCCCCAGCGGGGTATGGCACATGCCAGCTCCACTCGAGCCCGTCCCAGGAGCCCGCCCCGGCGCCCACCATGGCTCCCTCCTACCAGGTATCCGCCTGGCCTTTCTGTGGCTAGCACCGGATAACGTTGAGGGGGCACGTGCAGTGGGCGCCCCGCACAGGCACACAGACGGGGACACAGACTTACCTCCCTGCCCCTGACAAGGGAGCAGGGGATGGGCTTGTGCTCGTTGGGCATTTCTGGTGCTGATGATGCCAACTTCCCCTCTCCGAGCTCTGGGACTAGAGATCTGGCCGCTGCTTTTCCACTTGGAATTGCTAGTGTGTCCCATGCCGGACATGGTCCAACCCTCCTGAGCCTCTGCCACCCACCGCTGGGACCCCCTAATGTCAGAGGGTGTACCATGGGCTGCCCAGCTGGCAAAGCTCACGCTGTCTGGTTCCACCTTCTTCCTCCCTCCCTTACTTCTGGGACTCCCCCTCCAGCCCACCCCCATGCTCTTGCGCACCCCCAGGGCTGGCCTCTGCTTTTGTCCTCACCTTCCTGTCGTCGTCCTATTCCACACAACACCCTGTGTGCCCCTTGGCACAGCACCCAGACCCTCCCTGAGCCCCTGGCCCCATTTGTCCCCCCCGGCCCCTTTCCTGGCTGCAGCCACTGTGCTCACAGCCCTCTGCTCCTCCCACAAGCCCAACAACCGACTCTGTGCGGGGGGGGGGGGGGGGGGGGCCCCCCCCCCGCGGTCCCCCCCCCCGGGCCCCCCCCCCCCCCCCCCCCCCACCCCGCGCCTCCTCCCCCGCCCCCCCGGG